CCCTCCCTCCCGCATTTCTTTTCTTCCAGACAAGCTCACTTTGATCTCAAAAAAAAGGGAAAATGCAGTTTGAGAGAGAGGCTGTCACACTCCATTGAGTGTCCTTTTGATTTAAAATGGTATCTCTGCTTCCACTTTATATCCAGAAGGGGCAGAAACTCAGTTTAAAGAAAAGCATCCACTGTCTCGCGTAGTTTGAGCATCAAAGAAAAAATAGATTTGGAGCAGAAGAGTTGCATGCCACTACATTGTCTGCTTTTCTTATCAGTAATTACAGGCATGGGTTAGGGGAGGTTTAACCTCTCCCTGCTAGAGATGGGCATGAACCAGTGTTCACTGACTTTGCTAATAGGATGTTTTTTTCCTAATTCCTGTACCATGACAGATTGAGTAAATTGTTTATGCGCTGGTGGCCTGCGCAGGAAGGAATACATTGCAATCCTGATCATAGTCATAGGTGCATGTGCATGATGAACATTTTCATATTTGTTTCTTTTTAAGTGTTTTCTGAGGTTGCCTCTTTCATTTACATGTTTTTTTGCGTACAAGTCCTTTTGGTTTACATGAACGAGACCACCTCTTTTAGGTCATTTCATGTTTAATAATTCAGATTTTCAGGCATTAGTTTAAAAACCTTAAAGAACTTGTAAAAACTACTCCAGAAAAGGAGAGGCAAGGCAAAAGAGAATCAGTCTACTCCGAAAGCAAGGAACAATACATGAAAAAACCTCACAATCGGAGCTATGCAGTGACTTGCTTATATTATCACATTCAAAACATTGCTAGACATTGGCTACCTGGCACACAGATACACCCCCACACTAGAGCAACCAAAAATAACACAAGAACAACAAGAGAGAAATTCCCATGCTGTGCCCAGGTGATAGTATAACGGCCCAATTAAAAATTCACCTTCTTAGCTGACGCACAAACAGAATCAAACTAAACAGTCGCAAACAACCTACCAAAATATGTACTTTTAACGGAATGAATACACAGTAAACTGACAAAAAAAAAAACAATTTTTAAAAAGCAATCACACTGGGAAAGCAGCTTCCCCCAATACATGGGAGTGTAGAATGACAAAATCAATGAACACACACAAAAACCCCTCTCTCAAAAACCAAGAAAGGAAAGCGTATAAAGACAAAAAATATAACCTTAATCTAAGAGAATATGGAGTGAGTTGTCTCCCATGTATTACATGATGTCTTCTCATCTCTTCTTTGAGTCCAGCAGGCAGTGCTAGGCAGTTGCAAAATAATCCCAAGGAAGACGGGGGAATCTGCACAGGCAGTCTGCTTGTTGATAGCAGCAATAGTAATAATAATAAATGGGAGGAAAATCCCTCCAAAAATAGAAGGAAAAAAGAAAAGATAGACAGGACAGCAGGCAGGACAGTCTAAGATGGAGGGCACCAGGAGTTTGCATACTCACAGGCACTGAAGCAGAAAGTAAGCTCCAGCCACTCCAAGTCCTTTTACAGATTGATTGTAAAATGTTATTGCAATTTTACAGATTCGAAATTCTCACTCCCCCAGACATTGAAATCGACTGCTAATATTAGCCCTTGCATTGGATGAACAATTTCCTGGGCAGTTTGACAGATAAAGGGCGAAAGAAAGGTGAAATGAAAGAGTGAAAGAGGAAATAAAAACCTTGCATGTACCCTTTTCAGATGAATCATTCATATTCAAGAGGATTCTTGTCTGTAACCAATGAAAGAGCATGAACACAAGAGAGAGCCTCTTTTGTGTTCCCCCCTTTTAAAAAACACAAAAGGCCCATCTCTAGTCATAGGAGCCCTGCACTTATAATTGATTTTCAAATGAAAACATAGAGGCACATGTTACTCTTTCAGTGTAATGTGTAGTTTGGCCTTCAGTTAACTGCACATTAACTGGTTCATTTCTATGTAATAAAAATAGGTCCCATATTTGCCGGCGTACAAGATGACTTTTTGGCCCTGAAAAACATGCCTCCACGTGGGGGGGGGTCATCTTGTACGCTGGGGGCACATCCAGCAAACACTCCCTCTCTCCCAGCGAAGTCACTTACCTGGTAGTAAGACTGAGTAGAGCCCCGCTTCTAGCCTGGGAACAGCCTGACTCTAGCGCTGAACAGCTGACTGTCGGGAACAGCAGAGAGGAGGCAGCCATTTTGAGATGTGACCACATGGCTCCTGCCTCTCAAAATGGCTGCCACCTCTCCAAAATGGCTGCCGCCTCTCTGCTGCTTCCCGACAGTCTGCTGTTCGGCGCTGATGCTGTCCTTCTTCCAGGAACCCCTCGCTCTCTCCCAGCAAAAGGAACCAGAATCACGCATGCGGAAGAGGGGATAGTCTTACACAGCAAGTATATAACAAACTCTAAATTTTGAGTGAAAATGTTGGGTCGTCTTATACGCCCAGTCGCCTTATACACCGGCAAATACGGTACATTCCATCTTGGACTATGTTGTACAAAAACAGTATCAAATGAACATCCTAAATTACATTTCATTAAGCAAATGGCAAAGTAGTTAAGTGTTGGTTTGATCATGTTTCTCTTTGGCTGTCACTTCTTATTTGTTGAGGGCTCTTGTAGAGCTTAGTCTTCACAAAGCCAATAGGGGAGGTTAATTAGCAGCTAATTGAAATAATTGAATTTTAATTTAATTAATTAAATTTGAATTAGTAGCTGCCACCTCCTCCCCCACCTATATCAATTCAAGATGAAGGAAATCCCTTTTCATCCAATTGATGGGAGAAGTTTTTTTATGGGTTCTGCCCTCTTATCTAATTTTGGGAATTATAATAAAGGAAAATCAAAAAGAAATCCAGGCCTTAGGGTTTGCTTTTCCCTTCTTTAATTACAGGACTCTGTAATTAAGCAGATGGGTGGTGAATGGGATGGATTATACCTAAAAAAGAGTTAAGCTTTATTACATTTTAAAGAAAAGAGTTTGCTGTTGTTTAGTTGTTAAGTCGTGTCCGACTCTTCGTGACCCCATGGACCAGAATACACCAGGCCCTCCTGTCTTCCACTGCCTCCCAGAGTTTGGTCAAAAAAGAAAAGAGTTATAACACATTAACAAGGAAAAAATTGACTCAGAGTTTAAAAAAAATACAGAGGTAGGTCTCTGGGCATAAAACCTCACATTTTAAAAATATAGAAGACAGATGCAGGACAGATGCAGAAATATTTAGATAATCAGCACAGCCAAAAAGAATTATAATCCCATGATACAAACTAGTTTACTATAACCCCAGTTCTGTTTACAGCTATCTAGTTGTTTCTTGTCCCACTTAGTTCTGGAAAAAGCTCTGCCACATGACCAACTGAAGCGAAATGAGCCACCAAGAAGCACAAAGGAAACCTTTAATTTAAAAAATCCTTCAATGAGTTGGATTATCTGATACCTGTGAGGCTAATACCTGTGAGCCCTCATACTCTTTCCAGGTATGTGTGTTGCTGCATACTTGTTATGACAGCTTCTAGGCCCCAATTAATTTCTATGAACCCACCTCAGGGCTCCTAAAGGAAATAAGGGAGTTCCCCCAAAGGATAATATCCTATGTGTGTTTTAAATGTTCTGTTAGTGCATGGCTAGAATTCAGTATTTTCACTGATCAAACAGACTTAATTAAAACGCAAGAGTAAAACACAGAACTGTCATTTACTTTCAAAACTTGAACGCAACATAAACAGCGCTGATCTGGTTGACTTTCAGACATCCAGTTTTTCTTTCCAGTGTATCTCTTCCATCTTTTCCCTAAACTCTCTCAACTGCTGCCTCCATCCGTTCACCACACCGAGTGATTTCCCTTTCTCCTCCAACACCCAACAACACCACAACCTCCCTTGCTTTCGTATTGTTCAGTTCACTCTTTAACCCCCCCTCCCATAGCACTCCAGTGGCTGTTATCAGATCAACCAAGAGAGGATGAATGCCAGTGCAGTCTGTCACACTTGTATTAAGGATCAGCAGCTGGTGGGTTTGGGGCCCAGTGGAGCTCCCTGAAAGGTGTCTTAGATGCCGGTCTAGAGGAAAAAAGAGGGCCACAGAAGAGCAGTCAAACTTAAGATCAGGATACTTTGGAAAACAGTCTTGGACTGTTTTGCATCCAAGACTAACCATTTTACTAGGCTGTTGTAAAGGCAGCATGTTTCAGTTGTAAGTGACTAGAAAGAACAAGCATTCCAAGTATATTTACCTCAGAGTTATTTCACAGTGGAAGTCATTGCCTTGGGAGCAGGTGGATTGTTTCCAGTTGATGTTTTCTGAACAGAAGTTGGATAGACATCTGCTGGGGATCTTCAGCTGTGGGTTTTCTGCATTAGTAGGAAGTTGGACTGGAAGACTCATAAGGACCATGTCAACTATTCTGTGATTTTAACATTCCAATTAGTGTCTCATTGACAAAGCATTAAGTATAATTCAAAGGTTTCTTTTATGTAACCCACTTTAATGCAGATGTAGCCTACAGAGTTATTTCTTTTGGAATCACATAAAATTTAATTCAATTACTATAAAATTTGAGGTATTGTACAGTGTTTGCAATTTCTGCAACTGTTAGGGTTCTGTCTGTTGTAAGTACCTCCAGGTTTGAGTTAACACAGAGTAGTTCCACAGACAAAGGTAGAATATTCTTAACTATGTTGACTGAAACATTGGTCTATCCATGAAGTGACCACCCTTTCTATTTTTAGACACTTTCTCAACAAACTATCAGAAAACCTCTGTTAAGTTATATACAATTTAATGGACCATTAGAACTTCCCTATATTCATGGTGTTTTCAGAGGAGCCTGTAAGAATTTGGAACTTGCACAATGTCAGTGATATTTGCAACTACAATTGCTATATTTTTCTTCGAAACTCCACATTATTAAAACAAAACAAACAGATAGAACTGGGAGACAGTCTGTCATTGTCTGCAGCTGTGCCGAAGTTTGAAAATCTGTTCCCTGTGGTTTGAAAAATAGTTTCTTATCTGTGTTTTCCATTTATTTTCACCAGTTGTAATCATGTGTGCCAGCAGTGACGCAATAAGGAACATCATGTTGGCCGCGCATCGGCAAGGAATGACCAGTGGAGACTATGCTTTCTTCAATATTGAACTCTTCAATAGTTCATCATATGGTAATGTTTTTTCCTCTAGTGAGTTACGAGAGGTTTATAAATAAAATCATATTTTAGAGATTGTTTCAGTCTAGTAGAGCACCTTAAGTTTGAACATGTGCCTTGTAAGTCTTTAAAGTATAAGTCATAACGTGTGTCTTTGTTCACTTTTTGAGATAACATCCGTTTGGATTATGAAATTAAAAGATAAAAAGAAAAAAGGATGAAATTCTTAGAAGTCTTTTTTTTTTCCTGAATTTGCTGTGTTTGCTTCTTATTCTGTTTCCAGACATCTGAGCAAGGTTTGATCTCCACTGCAGTCTTGCACAAGAGGCTGCTTTGCAGAACAGGAACTTGGCTATGACTCTGAGACCATCTAGTGAGCTTCATAGCCAAGCCACCATGGACCTGAAAGTGGGCTTCCTAGGTTCATACGTAATTGCTCTGCTGTTCATTAGAGTAAATTAAAATGAACAAAACTGAATAGCTGAATGCAACAGGGCCATCTTGGTTCAACACATTAGTTGTCTGTTGGAGTAGCCTTTACAAAATTAACATGGTTACTTCTGAGCAGCAAGTAAATGCTGATGAGAATGTCATAACCCGTTCCACCATACATGCTGGACTCAGACTAGAAGTTCAACAGTGATGGGGGACCCATGAGCATGGCACGAGAAAATACTGTAGTCAGAAGAGTTTTCTCTTCATTCTTTACTAGCCCTGTCTTTTATGCATAAACTTACTTACTGTGGTGTCATTTGGTTGGAATGTAGGCAAATAGTAAATTTACCAGCGGCTGAAATGTTGGAGTTCCTTGCTACAGAATGCCTGGGCTAACATGTCTGGATGTAGGAGAGACTGCCAGCTGAGCAAGTGCATGCAGTTTGTGGGTCTTGCAGGCTAATTTAATGTACAGTTTCCAAAACTTAAGTGTTTGGATTCATTCAACATTATTCTAAGGAAGCAAGTTGAACTAAATCACCCAATGTTTTTCATCTTAACTGGCTAATGAATCACATCCGAACTACTACACAAAACATTTTCTTTCTTTTAGGGGAAAAGTTTAAGATACTGGCCACACTAGTCTGTTCCACAGACTTTGCGTCACCTTGTGTGTGCTAAGGTGCAGGATCTGTGGATGTGTGATTACACAGTTGTGTACTCTTCAGACTATCATACTCTGTACTGGGTGACTGAATGTACAGGGCTAAATAGGATTAGTAGTAGCATGCAAGGGACACAAGCCTAAAACAGAAATGGTCATTGTGCTCAGAGGCATCAGCACTATGAGCCATAAATGGTTGAAGTGCCAATTTTGGTTCATAATGTTGGTGGAAAGAAAGCACCAGTCTTAATGCAGTAAGACGGTACACAGTTATAATCGAGCTGCATGAATGTGTTTCAGTGTACTGTATTCACTTATTTGCTTTGAATCTTTGTTTACTGTCTTTGATAACAGATTATCTCAGGGTACTTCATTATTTTTTAAAAATATATAAACAATAAAATAACAGCAAATTAAAAATGCACTTAAAATGACATAAGTCACACAGTCCTTTTGCATGACAGTGGTGAAGTCAGGTTTTCTGAGTTACTAGCATTCTTACTTATTACATAATCTTGTATGACATCAGAGTAGCTAGGATAGGTGGGAGCACCTACACCATTGATAGTAGTAAATATTGATCACTAGAAACATCTGTCATCTTATATGATATTTTGTCCTCTGTAATAACAGAGTGTTTCATACCAAACAGTTGATTAATAGCTGCAGATGGCACTTCCCATTTCTAGTAACAGGCCCTTGAAGCTCATGTACCAAAGGTCAAAACATAGTCTAGTGGGACTTGTTGGGAAGAAGTAGGCAGGATTCCCTATCAAAACAAGAGCCAACAGCTCATGTGTTTTTGTAAGATGTTAATTGCTTGATTTCACTTGCCAAAGTAAGTGTTCCTTTTGGATGAGTGTGATGCTCAGGAAGCCAGCCCTCCTCTCCACTCTGCAACTTGGAACGGGACAAAATTGTCTTCAGAATTTTTGCAGTTCTCTGAATTCCATTGTAGTTAATGGGAAGCTCCTGATCCACCCCTTTCAGATTTGAAGCCAAGAGCGAAGGAGGTGGTTTGTCCCTGGCTTCTAAGGTCATCCATAAAGATATGAGAGGTTCCTGGTGGCTACAGGTTTTTGACTGGGCTATTAGGGCAGTCAGACATTGCAGATCTCAGCCCAATAGCTTATTCACATGGTGAAACAAATGGCCTTTCTTCATACTGGAACAAAGAGCAAGATGTCCAGCGAGAACCATAATTTATGTCAGGTTCATATAGGAAGAGATGGTCCTTCAGATATCCTGATCCCTAATTGTTTCAGAGATCTATAGCTAGCAGCCAACATCTTGATTGGGCCCAGAAACTAACAGGAAGTAAATGCAGATGATGTGGCTAGTATAGTTAGAAACAAAAACCCAGAAGCCTTCTGACTACTACATTTTGTACCAGTGGGGTTTCTGGATGCTCTTCAGAAGGTATTCCAAGACAGAATATGCTATAGTATTCTGTTTGTTGTTGTTGTTACACAGAATTAAGGCAATTTGTGCAACTTTTTAAAATAGAAAAAAGCTCTTTCATGAATCATCTCTGTAAATGTGAAGTTACTGTTCCAAGCAACTTGAGGTTATCCTACTTTTTCATTTGTGTCTTTTGAGTTTTGCAAAACCAGAGCCTTCTCTTTAGAATATGAGAAATGGACTTATAAGAAGTCAGAACTTAATCTAGCTAGGTAGTGCCCAGGTTTTTTCTGCACTCTTTGCAGAATAGCTTGTAGTCTCCTGTGTAGTCCAGGGACTCCTAATCTAAGCTACAGTTTTTTCTCATTAGCCTCTAAGTAGACCTGACATAGACCGGCATGTGAGCAGGGATTGGACTAGGCAGGCACCTCAGGTGGAAATGATCACTTTTCACTTGTATGATCCCCGTACAGCTGACCAGCCGTGTTTTCAGAATTTAATAAAACCTCTGTTATGCAGGAAGGGACGTGGTGGCGCTGCGGGCTAAACCGCAGAAGCCTGTGCTGCAGGGTCAGAAGACCAAGCAGTCCTGAGATCGAATCCACGCGACGGAGTGAGCGCCCGTCCCTTGTCCCAGCTCCCAACAA